ATTTCTTCAAAATTCGCAAGTCAGTGACAAAATGGTCAGATTTAAATCTTATGTCTGGGATGGACACCCAGAGATGGTGAGACATTTCGCATAACCCCTTACTAGAACACAGCTCAGCTTTAAGACACGTTGACACAAAGACAATGAAAACTTTAATAAGCCGCATACTAGATTAAAACACCTTTGAAAGGAACAAAACATCCAGATTAAGTTACATGGTCCTTTTCACACCTCTCTGGTGTGTTAATTCATGAGTACATGTGCATTGTGGTAAGGCAATGCACAGATTCCATCACTTGCATCACTTTTTGGGGCCCCTTACACGGCTTTAGGCCAGACCCCCCCCCCCGCCGCTCGACACGGGCTTAGTGACTCGCTGGACTCAGGGCTTAGCGACGCGCTGGACACAGGACCCACCTGAGATTGACTCTGCAGAGCCCACCATAGATGCTACACAGCCCATATGAGACCTCCCTCCTTTCCTTCCTACCTTCCTAGCTCCTATTACCTGCACACGTGGCCTCATCTGCCGCCGGACAGGCCAGAAGTGACGTCACTTCCGGCCAGTCCGACATCAGACGAGCAGCATCGCTGATGGGGCCCCAGCTTATCTCAAAGCCGCTGGAGCTGCAATGCTGGGGCCCTGCTCTGCTAGGGCCAGGCCTCGGCCTCCTCGCCCTTCACCGTCGGCCGATAGTCATGTAAGGGACCCGGGCGGGCCCCCCAGGCTGCCCGGGCCCCTTACATGAGTATCAGCCGTACCCCCCCTGATGGCTGCCCTGCGTTCCATTCCAAAAGAATACTGCAACTGAGATCACATGTTACCGCATGTCATCACGCATATGGGTGTGCTTCCAGCCTTCATGTTTTTGGCTGTGTGTGGTTGTCTCAGATCAGCCCCATGCTGCTATTCACTGTGAAAACTTACAAAGTATACCCTGAGTGAGTGGTGACTAGGGGAGGGGAGACCAAAACTGGGTGACATTCTTCTCCCAGGGTACCTATGCATAATTACTTGATTGGAGCATTGCTTTTTAAAACCTAACTGCAGTGGATTAAGTGGTTAAGAGTTAATATATCTTTCAGGTTTTTATTCTTGTCCGCGACCCCACTGGAGAGAATTATCCTCACTCCCCGTCCCTGCGACTCCTGTACAAGAAATGGGGGTGTGGTTTTCACCTGGACAGAAAGGCACAGACAGCAATGAAAAAAAAAACATTCTTAGAATTTTAACTTCATCCCCACTCTATTAAAAATGTGTTTTTATTTTTGTCTGTGCCCCGATTGGGGAGATAGCCTTTCTCTACTGATAGGAAGTAAGAAAAATGTTTCCAATAGAAACACAGCAATAAAAACCTGACTATAAAGTGCATCTCTAGGCATTTTTTTTTAGTTTTAGAAAAGTAGGAGATGATTAGACCTTCTTTCACGTTTTATTGCTGTCCACTTTGGGGAGATTCATGATTCTATTTGTACGGGGGACCATTGAAAAGAAAAGAGGGGGGGAAATTCTAGATTTTAGATTTGTTTCCAGAACAAAGAGGAGAGTGAGAGGAAATATTCTACCGGGGACACAATATCAAAGGATAACTGTCTAAAACTGGAATTTCCCAATTTCTACTAACTTCCTGTTGCATCTTTGGGACAGGAAATGAAGGTTAATTTCACCATAGGTACAAAAACAGCAAACATAAACTATCAGGGGTATTAACTCTTCTGTACTTTATCCAAAAAAAAGATTTTGGCTTTACACGCAGTACACTCTATCCCTCCCCTGTTCTATTTAATATATTTTAAAAAATGGTTTGGCTGGATGCAAACATGTAGGGTTTCTGATAAATAGTAAAGGTTTATTGGACATTTTAAAAGTTGAATCAAAATACAAAGTACCAAAGGAACGACTGTGGGCACAACAAATACAATCCATTAAATGTATTTTCCACTCTACTCAAAATCTCTGCATTACTCTGACTGAGCATAGGGCAAAGGGGAGTAACCACTGGGCCAAACGTGATGGCAATGTACGGTGGGGTTGGATACTTTTGCTGTCCCATGTGCCAAAAGAAGAAAAAGAGTAAAAATTATAGAGTAAGAGTAGAATGGTATTGCAAGAAAAGGGAAGGCAGGAAAGAGAGTTGGAGAATGGGTGGGGGGTGGAGGATGACTTCTGGGAGTCGGGGGGATGACGACTTAAAATCAATCCCATGCAATTGCAAATGGTTAATTTCAGTGACCCATTCTAAATGAAAGGGACGTAGATTCAACTTCCAATGTCTGGGTATTACAGTTCTGGCAGTTAGTAAATAGAACTGCAATAGGCCCTTTTTAGCAGGAGAGAAAAGCAATTTCTGGTGTTCACCACCATATGGACCACCATCATAGGACCACCATATGTGTAGCATTGAACCTCTGTCTTTTTAACATCACCAACACCGGTATAAGGCAGAAGGGAATATTTTTTGTAGAGTTTAGGGGCATCTATGCCACCACATCAAGATGTTGAAATTGTTCTCCATGAGCTGCAGATACAATACTACTTCGGTGTGTCAAGGCATACTCCTTACTCCATACTCCTCTCAAGAGCCCTTAACTCTGATGCAAGCAGTGGGCTGGCTCTTGGAAGGAGTTATGAAAATATTATTCCGCTTTATCGCAAGTAATCGTGTGTCCTCAGCCTCTCTCACCTGAAACTAAATTACAATGCCGCTTTGCTAACTCATATCATTGACTGAATATTTCATGGGAAGGGCAAACTGTGGGTATGCTCCATACTCCTCTCAAGAGCCCTTAACTCTGATACAAGCAGTGGGCTGGCTCTTGGAAGGAGTTATGAAAATATTATTCCGCTTTATCGCAAGTAATCGTGTGTCCTCAGCCTCTCTCACCAAGGAGCTGTTATGTTTTCTGGAAGCCACTGCCAGCCCCTCACACCAACCACGATCGCCTGTATTACATAAAGAAGCACACAGACCCAGTGATGACATCACTGGGTCTAAAATAAGGTATGCAATGAAAACAAAAGAGTTTTATTGAAAGGTTTAGTTAGCATGTTGATTAGGAAGGAAAGAAACTAAGGAAGGTAAAATATACACAGATTCAACTTTCAGCTTGAAACATTTTCTCAAATATTTTTTTAATAAACAAGAGCATTTTCACATACTTCAAAAAGAAAAGGAAAGATCGTTGCATATTAAATGCAACAGGTATCCAAAGATATACAGTAAATAGTAGTTGTTGACAAGCATATTATAAATACCAGACTCGAGCTCTATAAATTACATATAATGTGACATATTATGACATTATTCTTAACATGTTGCCAGTGACGACTCCTATTTATTTTGTTTAGGAATAATACCAGAATTGTTTTTATTTTTTATCTTGGATGAATTGGGGAATGGTTAGAACTTCTGTTGGTTTTTTATTGTTGTGTTTCCATTGAAGAAACATGTTTCCATTGAGTGGATCCATTTTATTTTCTGTTCTATCTGACGCTCATCGCCTTGACAGGAACTCAGGGGAAATCGCCTCAACTGGGAAAACAAAAGTAATACAAATTCTTGCCTTTACTGACTCTTTTTTTTTTTTTATTGTTGTCTGTGTACCCAGTGGGAATGTCTGTCTGACATCTGTTTCATAGACAGGAAGTGATAGGCAATCTTTCTGATGTGGGCACAGGCAAAAACAAATGTACAGATGTACTGATCCTTCCCTGCTCTTTCCAAATCTTAAGAAAATTTAGCTGTAGTGGTTGCAATGCTTATGATAAGAGTCATAGCAGATCCAAATGTGAACACCCAGCATTAACACTACATTGATATATCTAGGTTCCTTCAACCTACCTTCGTATTATCCTAGAAGTCTGATCCTTGACTATTGGCATGCTTTTGCATTTGGTCATATGAGTGGCTTCCAAGGGGAGTTCCTCTTTAAAGCAAACTTATGGTTTTCAGCAAGGTGGCAGCTGGATCCCAATGTAGGAACCTCCCAATGCCTGTACATTGCTGGAAAAGATACAGGGCAGCCCCGGACAACACAGATCTAGGTCACTTTATAATGCAAGAGGCATAAAGAGCTGTTATGGCCATGCTCTGACTGCCAGTGCTCGCCTTTCCTCCATACTGGCCTTTGAAGCTGCCCATCGTACATTGCAGCCAATTGGGAAGCAAATGAGGTGGGACGAGGTAGCCACAGCATGACCATAGCAATTATGGTTTTCTTTTTTCACTAAAGAGCAACCTGGGCTTTTGGGGTCATATGTCCCTCTGGACATTAACCATCAGCAATAAAATCCTGGCAACATTTCAGGACCCTACCAGTGGCCACAGGCTCAATTTACAATAACACAAAACCAATAATAGCTCAGATATTTTATGGATTTCATTTAATGATAGTTTAAAGCAGCTGAAAACATAATCGTTGGAGGTGTTACCTACAGCAAAACCTAATTGTTCATTAGATCACAACATGCTCATTTTTCAAACCAGACTAAGTTCCACAGAAACAAAGATAACAAACTTAAAGAGACTCTTTCATGGGAAAACAACCCCAAAACTGGTGTAGGTATAACGTTCAGGCACCTGGGAGTAAATACAGATACCCTTAAGAAGCCCTCAAACTCTTATATCATGGCTCAATGTTGTGAAGTTCTGACAATCAAAGTTTCCCTGTTTTTTAAGTGCCAAATCTTGGCCAAACTTTCATGCCCCTTACACATAACTATTGGCCAGTGACGTGCTCATCATAGTGGTGGGCCAATAAGGAATGAGGGTGGCAGGTCTTAGCAGCAAGCTCTGACACTACCTAGCAGCGTTGGAAGTTTGCCCATCCAGTCGGTCCACCATTTGGATGTGACAGCAAGGATTTGGAGCCTGCTGCAGGTATGTTTCGCCACCTCTAGTTGCCTGCATTTTATACATACAGCAGTTTTGGGGAGGGGGAGTTGCCCAAGACAGAGTTTATTTAAATACTTCAAAACTCTTACTTTTCTCTGGCTTTCCCTATACATTATTCCCCTTTAAAAACCACTTTTCCACACTGGGAATGAATTGGTAATCTGGAGCTTGCCTCAATCCCCGACATGCTTTGCAGTAGTGATTGTCCCACCCAGTTTCGCGTCTCACTCGATACAATGATCTCCAGTTGAAGTATTTCTTGTATCTTTCATCATCATTGTCCAACTGAAGAAGGTAATCTGCTAGGCCCTTTGCACTTGGGAAGTCATCAACGTGGATGAAAGCATCCCCAGGTATAAATCTTTCATAGTTTTTCCTAGATGTACCTAACACGACAGGTACAGCCCAAGACTCAAAAGCATTGTGCCAAAACTTCTCAGTTATATAGTCCTTGTGAATGGAATTTTCAAAGGCCAAGTAAAACTTGTACTGAGAAATGGTTTTACAAAAGTCATCCCAAGATAACGTCATGTGGTTCTTTCCATAAACATCTATTGGAATGTACTTATCCAGCTCCTCATAGTACTCATTACGCCGTGCACCTGGATACCACTGACTGACCACCCAAGCTACCAATTTGGACTTTGCTGGAATGGTGAAGTTTTGAGGCTGTTTCAGAGCTTCAATACGACCATAAGGTCTATAGACATCGGAGTCCTGGCGGAATGTCATGGTCATATTGAACATATTGTCTAAGAAGTGGAGATTTTTAGCGATCAAAGGGGGTTCCATGTTGAACCAAATCCAGCGCTGGTAATGAGGCCTTGGATCCTGAGGTAACAAACGTTTGTCGTACATGATGTCTATATGGTGCATGACTACAGCATCAGCTTTGTTGTAGAGGTTTCGGTCTGCGGTCAGTTTGCAACCAGAGATGCCATAAACACTTTGACAAGTATTTAATGGGAAATGCTCACTAAAAGGCCAAACCCAAACAAGAACAAGGAGCTCTTTCTCTTTATTGTGGACTGAGATTGGGGAGTCATTTGAGAGTTGATCTACTGTTGTGTCTCTATGTTTACATGTAAAGACCATGGAGAAGCCTCCTCTTTGCCATGACCAGGTAAAGAAGATCACAAAGAAAAGAATTGGGACAATTAGAATCGAGTTCTGATTATGAAATGGCTTCATTCTTGCGCATAATCTGAAAAGAAATAAACAAAGAAGACGTTAGTTTTAGTAGTGCTGTTACTGAAAAGCATAATGCTACTATGTTGACTTCTTTGGAAATTCTTTTTCAAAGAAAACTGTTGTACATTTTTTTAAAAAACATTACGTTTATAATGATATTTATATGTCAATTGCCAAATAAATGATGTGGGCCATACTTTGTATATTGTTTCATAGCCACTAGAAGGTTATCTCAGGTCTACAGCATCATGCCTGCTAAAGGTGGCCATAGAGAGTTATCTCATGTATACAGCATCATGCCTGCTAAAGGTGGTCATAGAGGGTTATCTCATGTCTACAGCATCATGCCTGCTAAAGGTGGCTATAGAGGGTTATCTCATGTCTACAGCATCATGCCTGCTAAAGGTGGCCATAGAGAGTTATCTCATGTCTACAGCATCATGTCTGCTAAAGGTGGACATAGAGGGTTATCTCACATCTGCAGTATTATGCTGGCTAAAGCTGGCCATACACAAGTATACATTTTTAGTCCAGCTTGAAGGCTGAACAAATAAAATCGAACAGATTTTGCCATTCATGCTAAGCAGCATGGCTAGGGGAATCTAGGACAACATAGCTGAACGGGAAAGCGAGCTGGATTGGAGAATTTTTCCAAGTCAGCTATTTTGGCCTAGATTGTTCCCTCCTCCTGTCTTCTCCAAACTCTTCACCCTTTTGTGAAAAACCCTTTAAAACTTGAGAAAACATTTTAAATAGGATGAATTCTACAGGTTAATACACTTCACTATCATAATGTGCTAACAAAATCAGAGAAAATACTACTGTAGACAGCGGTTATGGTGTTAGCATTTTATAAATAGGTGTAACAATGAAAACAGAAAATATCATACATATATTACATATATTTATATTAATAATATAATATAATAATAAAAAAGGTAATTATACTTTTTTTAATTTTATAAAATAATATCAGTTTACTGTACATTAAAAAAAAGAACCTCCCTCATAAATAACTGATGTTCTTAATTGTGACCTTATTGTATTATCACACTGATGTTTGCATATCAGGATTGTATTGTGCGGAAATACTTGAAATAGTCGTTGTTTTCATTGCTCATTGACCCTTTTTGTATTGAACATTTTTCAATAAAAACGTATCTAAAACGTATCTAAAAAAGAACCTCAATGAAACAGAATAAGATTGCAGTCTTAAGGCACATTTATTAAAATGTAGGGTTGTTGTTGCTCCAACCATGTGCAAAAAAAATATTAAAGGATGGGAACCTCTCCTGCACATCATGGTATTTTAGGCAAACATCACATCACCCAATGTCACGTCACTTTAGAAGATCATCGTGTATACTTACATCTTTTGGAAGACCCTTTTAATGACAATGAAAGAGCACGTAGATATGGAGCGACCATCAAGCATCTTTGTGTAAGAACCATCCTCTAAACTGGATTCTGAACTCTTCCGTCTCCCAGTCCACTTCATTACAAACCAATGTCCTGCTTACTGTTTGGGACTGATGACTTGAAGAGAACTTGAGAAAAGTGTCTGCATGTGTAGCACTGTTACGGAATGGGATTAGTGTCACAGTTATTACAGACATCAAAGAGTGACACACAAACATTCATCAGGGAAGCAACAGCCAAGCAACAAACACACAAGCTTCCCTCCTATGCCTAAGGACATTTAATGGTATGTATTAGAGACTTTTAAGGGTTCTGGAGATTTAAGCGATTTTTTTTAACCCTAAAAGAACTACATGAAATTCCACTTCTAAAGTGTATGTCAAGGCAGAAAAATACAATATTGATATATTAGGTATAGCTCTGCAATACATGCACATTTTCCCATGCTGTATCCCTTTAAAAATGTTTCCAGACCAATCCAATCTATCTTTCAATTTCGAGAGTGCTCGACCACGGATTGATGCTGCTGACCTCAGTGATTTTGTACTAGTAAAGTTATAAAGTCACTCAAGTCTAAGTGGGGACCATAGTAGTGAAAAATATTGCATTCACATAGCTGTATGGGCTTAATACCTGCAATGATAGGACTCAGTATTTTAAAGAGATGTAATAGAGATTATAGAGATGTAATACTATGAGGGGAATTTATCAAAACTGGAGCAGACAAAATCTGGAGCAGTTGCTCATGGCAACCAATCAGCTTCTGTCTTTCATTTTCAAATCTTAACTGAACAAACTGAAGAGAGAAGCTGATTTGTCGCCATGGACAACTGCTCCAGATTTTGTCTGCTCCAGTTTTGATAAATTCCCCACTATATGTTTAAGTTACAATCATTTGCTGCACAGATTAAGTTGGCAAAGAGGGCTAGAACAACCCCTCCCATTCCTAATTACTGAGGAAGTCTGTGGGGATCGCTTTGTGCAGAATATTCTTAAAGCTGACCATACATCTATAGATTATCTGCAGATTTTCTATGGTCAGATGGAAAAAGTGCAACAGATTCCTCCATCTACGCTAAACCGTGTGGATGGAGGAAACTCCCACTGGGGCCAAGCTTCAGTATCTTGCTACACAGTTTAGCGTAGATGGAGGAATCTGTTGCACTTTTTCCATCTGACCATAGAAAGTCTGCAGATAACCTATAGGTGTATGGCCAGCTTTAATCAAAGTTTATGAAGAAGTTTACAAACTATGAATTATATCTTTTTACTGTAGTATTTCTTGATTTGGTCATTAATATGAGAAAGAACATTGTATTATGTATAACTATATTGGTAAAATTATAGTTATGGATACATTTAACTTAAAGCACTCCAAAGACATGCTGGAAGGTTAATTGGCTCCTGTCTAAATTGGCTCTGTATGTGAGATGGGGACCTTAGATTGTAAGCTCCTTAAGGGTAGGGACTGAGGTGAATGTACAACTATGAAAAGCGCTAAGTAAATTGTCGGCGCTATATAAATACCTGTAATAAATAAATAAATATAGCTGAAGTTAACAGAAAGGTGGGGGCACTCCTCTTCCCATGCCCCCCTCTCTCCTGCTAGTGGTCTTACGAGTTTTAGATTTCAGCTATGATGCACCACAGGTCCCAGATCCTGTCTTGCTTCAAATTGTCAATAAGGGGCTATTCATGTCAGATGGGCAGTAAATTCTCAAAAAGGAAAAAGGGACCTATTTTCCCATTCTTAGGCACTTACACACAGACACGATGCAGACAACTACAGATGAGCACACTAAACTTTTGCAAGAACATACGTATACATTTACATAACTATTTTATATTTTGTTTCATGCTATTTATCTTGTAATCATTTGTCCTTTAGATTGCAAGCCCTCAGGGGCAGGACCCTCACTACCATCTTGTCTTGAATTGTATTGTATTGTAATGTCTTCCCTATTTTGTAAAGCGCTGCGCAAACGGCTGGCGCTATATAAATCCTGTATAATAATAATAATTTTGTAATTAAACACATTTTTTATTTTTATGCAAGAATGGAAGATTTTTGCTTTTAAACTTCTTCCACCCTATATAAGATACAGTAATACCTTGGTTTACGAGCATAATTCTTTCCGGAAGCATGCTTGTAACCCAAAGCGCTTGTATACAAAGCGAATTTCCCCATAGGAAATAATGGAAATTCAGATGATTCGTTCCACAACCTAAAAATATTCATATAAAAATGATTACAATACTGTAATATAATACTGTACAAAATATAAAGAAAAATAAACCAATTACAGGTACCTTCGTGTCTGGTGTGAGGGAGACAAGAGAGAGGAGGATTATTGTGTACGACGACTTTCACTATCACTAACTAAATCACTTCTATCTCTTGGCTCAATGGAATCTTTTTCATTTTGTGAAACCTTAACAAGGAATCTATCCAATGACACTCGCTGTTGCCTCCTTTTGAGGATTCCATGGAAATGTGACATTGCATTGTCGTTAAACAGATTCATCGCTCGCACTGCTACAGCCTTATTCGGGTGGTGCTTTTCTACACAATTTTGCTCGTATAGCAAGACATCGCTCGTATATCAAGGCAAGATTTTTCAGAAACGTTTCCTCGTCTTGCGGAACACTCGCAAACCAAGTTACTTGTAAACCGAAGTATTACTGTACAAGGGTTTGATATAAAAATCCATACTTCTACAAAATGTCATCTATTTACAGGGTTATTCACAAAAGGGTGAAGAGTTTGGGGAAGGCAGGAGAAGTGAACAATCTAGAACAACATAGCTGAACTGGAAAGTGAGCTGAATTGGAGAATTTTTCCAAATCAGTTATGTTGTCCTAGATTGTTCACTTCTCCTGCCTTCTCCAAACTCTTCACCCTTTTGTGAATAACCTTGCCAATCTTACCTTCTTGAAGCAAATAATAGACTCTTTGCCCGGATGAAAGACTCACATACATGTCGATGGAAGCCAAAATGGGGAACTCCAATGTTTCCTGAAATGTCATCAATACACAAAAAGGAACATTCAAGACTTGCTTACCTCGAGGAAGATAATGGGATCTGGCTGTAGAGAAGTGACTATGACAATGCGAGCCCTTTTGTTGTGTGCTTTTTAAATTGGGTATGTATCCAAGCGAGCTTGTATTGGTTCAAGTAAAACAAGATTTGTTTCATTGTCTTCTGGTTTCTTACATCCAGTTAGCCCTGGGCATGTTTAATTGCCATTTTGTTTTGCCATAGAAACCTAAAAACTTCTGTTTGGCAGCTTAACCCTTTCGCTGCCAGGCGCTGTGTTCCACTTATGACCTCAGGTGGCCACACCATTTTTGCATTTTGTCACCTTTTTCTTATTTTCAACCGCAGTTTTCAGAGTTTGTAAAAGACCCCCTGAGACCATGCATTTACTGAAAGCACAGGACTGGTAGAATAGAAAAAAATGGCGCTACTAATTTTGAAGGTCCT